CACGGGAAGGGAAAACACCAATCTGGGAACTGAAAACACCCAACCCGTTGTTGCCATCTCCTCTGAAACTACTGTATTTGAGGGTCTTTTGTGGAGTGCTCCAAATCTCAGCCAAGCCACCCACCATTCGCCAGTGATGGTCTCTCATGTGGTCATTGCTGACCTAAGACGCCAAAACCAACGTTCAACCTTCACATCGAGATATGATATGTCTCAAGCTATGGTAACCTAGCGATAACCTCTTTGTTGGGTGTCTCCGGGATTTTGTGAGGTGCACCCACATGTGAACTGCACGTGAGCAGCAGGTGTGCCTCTGATGTCCGTTTCATCCAGCTGTACATGAAGAATCCTGTTCTATGATCCCTATGATGTGAAGCAAGAACTTTCCCCGAACACGTTGGCAGCACATAAATAAATGAATATAGTTTCAAAAAACATGCCGGGAGTCGCAAAGGGGTTGCTTTTAGTCCCTAAGTGAGTGGATAATGGGCACCCCTAACCTCCATTAAGCACCCCTTTGTGACTACTGGAGTATACAGTGTATATATATATAATATTATTAGTGGGTGTGTGTGAACCTGTTGGACGCCAAGCACAGCCTGTCGTAAAATCCTCATCCGTGCCGGCAGCAAGCTCAAGAAACTCTAAAGCCCGGAGGGGCCAAATGACTCGAGTTCACATCATGTTACCCCTAGATGGTCGTGGTGGATTTGGACTGGCAGGTGAGGTAAGATGAGTCATTGGAAGTTCTGGCAAAAGATCTAAAGATCCGATCTGAATCTGCGAGCACCGAACCCTTCCCTCGAGTCACATGTGTTGCCTCACGGCTGCGCCAAAAGAGACAGAGAGAGAGAGAGAAAGAGAGAGAGACAGAGAGAGAGAGAGAGAGAGAAAGAGAGAGAGAGAGAGAAAGAGAGAGAGAGAGAAAGAGATAAATAAATAAATAAATCAAGAAAGAAAGAAAGAAAGAGAGAGGAACCACCGCGTCCCACAGCATGTTGGGTCCCGTGGCGCTGAAGGACCCCAAACACTGAGAAGCATCGAAATGGAGCAAAAACACGCCTGCACAAGCGCCCCCCCTTTCAGAGACTGGAGAAGAGACCGGCAGCGCCACCATTGGCACTAGAAGATGAAGCCCACGGAAACAGGTTCCTGAAAAAGAGCCGCCCCTGCTCTCTTGCACGCAACGGACGTGTCATGTCTCACATTGTCCATTGTCTCACCCATTCTCAGCCCTGGCGGCCACTTGGACGTGTCTTGCACCACGGCGAGCGGAGGAGAGCGCCGCAAAGAGCCAGTACCAATCATCGCCTCAGTGCCATCATTGCCGCGAACGGCGGCCCGTCAAACCCGTGCTTCGCGACCTGTTTGGCATCCCGAACGCACAGCTTCCCGTCAAACACTTCCTGCGTGTAGCGAAAAAGTCACGTCCACTGCTGCCATCTGACATTGTTGACACCTTCATCTTCATCTAAATACCCCTGAAACTGAGGTTTCTCCGCTCAAGCAAGCTTCTATAAGTCAAAGCTCTGGTAGAGAAACAAGCATGTCAAACATCCTTAAATCCACCGTTTGAACCCCACCCCGAGCATCGTTCGTTCCACCTCGCCAGACTTGACAGCAGGGGCACAATCCTTCGCAGGCACCCGCACAAGGCACTCAGCCTCCTGGCAAGTCCCAAAGATGGACTGCAAAGCTCTGGGTTAGGCCAGGAATGGTAGAGCAAACATCTGAATGTTTCACAAATAAAATAGATTGGGGTTCTGCTATCTGTGTATATATTATACGTATATTATTATATACAAATATATAGTTATAAGCTATATTCTATACTGTGTATATAAAATATATCAATATATGTATATGTATATGCGACCGCTTTTAACGTCACTCCCATCCAAGAGCATCCTCTGTCCGAATTCTTACCAACATTTCCCAGAAAACATCAGAAAACTCTCTCTTCCGTCACCCGTCAACATCGGATTGCTCTTCCTCCACTCTTGATCTTAACACCCAACGGGCCCACCCTCCCAAAGGCCACTCGGGCGGCGGTGAAGGCGCCGGCGGTGCCTTCCACTTCCGTATGTAGGCCAAGGGCGTCCCCGCCGGAGCCGCGCGCTCCGCACACGTGATGGGGTCCTGGGGGCGGACCATTGCGGGGAGCCACGGTCGGACTCAACGCGCGATTCCGGGAGGGAGCAGTCCACCTGGGCTCGTCACGGTTGCGACCTGGGTCCTGAACTCCCAACCCAAAGAACCAGGTCGGCAACAAAGAACGATGATCCGAAGGATGTCCGAGTCCGAACCTCTCTACCTCTCTGACCGCGCCAAGAATCGAAGGGATACTGGATCTCAGGCTCGCCCTCCTGGCGGCTCTCAGCGGTCTGTGCTCCGCAGAAGGCACGGGCGGTGCCGCCCGTGCGAATGCCAGGATCGAAAAGCAAAGAAACATCACGGCTTCAGGGTGTCGGAAGAGTTTGGGTTTCCGCTACATGGACCCAAAGTCAGGAAAGTTATGTTTTCTAAGTGGTTGGAAGGGCCAGTGAGAAGACCAAAATGGGTCCAGCACCGGGCGGACGTCTCAGTCCACCCGGCACCGCTGGGAGGATCACTTTCCAAACGAAACGCCTCGTCCTGGAGAACTTCTTCATCAAGAGTCGCTGACCCTTGGGCCCTTGGGCTAGCTGAACACCACGGTCGCTGAAAGCCCAACTGTCGAACCGACCTAGCAAAACGACGACATCAGCGGCCTTTTCCCGCCGAAGCGGAGCGAGCTGTAAACCTTGAGCCATTTGGTATGGCGGTGAACACTCTGGTCAAATGGAATCATGGTATCCCGTGCTCAATCTCAACAGTCCCCCCAAACTTGTTGACCAGAGCGTCCAGACAAAAGGAGAAAAGCGCTCGATGCTGCTCTTCGTACAGCAGGCGGCGCTGAGAAGCCGAATGACTCCTTCGCCGAAAAGCGGGGTCCTCACGCCGCTGCACCAACTCTTGGTCGACGTCCACCAGGCTCAGCCAGCCGCTCTTCAGGAACTGGTGGAGCGCATCGTTCGCCCGGCTGGGGTCCAGCTTCGTGAGGCAGTCCACAAGCATCTTTTGATGCGGCACCCATCGCACCATGGATTTGGTCTCCTGCAAATCCCGCAGGATGATGCTCAACTCCAAGGCCGACTTGCGATCCTGCTTGCCGCTTGGGTTCTCGCGCAGCAGGCAGTCAAACAATGACTTGGCATCGGTCACGGAGCATTGACCTTGTCGGTCAGCTAGGGCGCACTGGCCTCGAAGGACCAGCATGTGTGGGCTGAGAGAGTTACGCCAACAGCTGAGGCTGACGTCGTGCATGGTGGCATCTCGGTGCATGACCTGCAGCCAATCCACTTCGTTGATCCCCTGAAGCATAGCTTGGGTTTCTCCGCCGAACGTGGAAAAGACTTTCCTCTTCAACCTCGAAGACCTCCAGGTAATCGGGGAAGCGCGAACAGCGCGATTTCCTTGAGGAAGTCGTTCAGCAGCAATGACCATCCAAGCGCCCTGAGTGGCATCCATGGGGAGGCCCTCGCTGTCCACATCCTCGATGCCCTTCATGTTGATTCCTCCGGCGTCACTGCAGACGACGAAGCACATCTCCTTGGGATCGAGCTTCCACATCTTGAGAGTTCGGTCATGGGTGCTTCGGAGGAAGTTGACAAACTTGTTGGTGATCTGGACGTCCTGAATCTTCGCTGAGGGAAGCCGGCTTGCCATCAAGGAGGCCAGCCCGGAAGCTTCAGGCCTGCTTTCCCGAGCGAGCCAGTTGATCTTGAACACCAATGATCTGAGAGCGTTGAACTCCTCCTCGTTCAGGTGGCTCTCGGGAGACGAACGTCGTCCCTTGAGAAGAGGCACTGGGTGGACCTGCTCCTGGATATACTTCCCTTGGTCGACATAGATGCAGTCCGAGGTGACTTTGATGTGACGACCGGCATACTCTGCCTCATTGACTTCCCATTTGCCAAACTGGAAGCGCTTGGTCATCGATGAGTGCAACCAGTGGTAGACTTCAGGAAGGGCGCACACTATGAAGTCATCGACCTCAATCAGCACCTGGGCCAGGCATTCCTTCTTTTCCGAGAAGAGGGTGTACCAGCAAGGCTCCACGAGGTTTCTCTCGAACGAAAGGCTCGTGAGGAAGTTCGTGACAGTGAGGCGCCACTCTCTTGGAGCATCGTCCAGCCCGTAGGTGGGAACCAGGATCTCGATGAGAGCTCCATCAGCCAATTTGAGTCCCTCACACGGCTCAGCGAAAAGGGGCCCGTGAGGCCTGTTCAGCTTGTGACTCTGGCAGAAGGCGTTCTTCACATCGGCAAAGGCGAACTGCATCCCGTAGTTCAGACCCACCTGCAGGAACATCATGAGACCTTCAGTCGAGGGAGTAGGGCTGTAGGTGCACAGGGTCCCGGTATCGGGATCGTGGTGTCCATGCAAGCACCATCGACTCTTGGCCTTCCAGCTGTGAAGTTCTGGTTGAGGTTTCTTCCGGCGCACCATTCGTGATGAAATGATGCGTTCGGGCCATTGAGCTCGAGCGTCATCTGCCGGCTTGCCCGTCAGGACCCGCACGGCCTTGGTCTTCAGGACGGCATTCCATTCCAGCTCATCAGAGGCCTCGAACTGCTCGCGTTCCTTCTGAGTAAGATCCTTGAGGCTCACCTCGCCTCCACGCTTGGGAGCTTGAACCCAACTGCCATCTTCTTCCAGACATAGAACTTGGTCACCGAGGGCATAGTTGAAGGCAGAGCCGCTCCAGAGTTCAGGGTCTTCGCTCTCTCCTTCCGGGATGAGCCCCAGTCGATTGAATTCCCTGACCTGTCGTGGCACTCGAAGACCGGCAGGTAGTTCCTCAGCTGGCGTCAGCGAAGAGGTCGATTGATCTGGGCTCAGACCAGGAGGTGGTGCAATCCGAGGGATTCGGCTGAGCATCTCGGCTACCGGAGTCCCGGGTGCCCGAGTTCCCACGGGTTCCTCCACAGGCGGTGATGCCAAAGGCGAGGTCGATGATGAAGAGGTGGAAGTTTCGGGAGACTCCATAGGATGTTCAGGCGAGACAGTCCTGAGCATCTTCCTGGGAGGCTCTGATTCGGCAGCCGTGTTCTCTTCTTGTGAGTGCTCGGAGCCTTCGGCACCTCCTGGTTCGGAAGCTGGTTCATTGATTGAGTTCCTGCGGGACTCCACGTTGACGGCAGGAAGAGGAGGACCGGCGACAGCGTCATTCGTGACCTCGGAAGGCGGAGTCAACTGGCTGGCTGGTAACAGCCCAGGAGGGATCGGCTCAACTTCCTCTGGAGGACGTGGAGATGGATCCTCACGACCACGTAGGCCATCATTCGATGAGGGGACCGAAGCAACTCCTTCTTCTGCACGTTCCACGGGGCCGAGCATCTGATCTGGTCCAGGAGGTCCTTCACGCTGCACGTCCACAGCCCCTGCATGAGTGCCCGACACCACTTGACGTAGAAGTTCAGCGAGTCCAGGGCTGGATGCTAGTTCTCGTCCGAGCACTTCACTTGGTAGGGCCGCTCTGAGCTGTGAGGGAGAGCATCTCCACAGTCGAGTCCTCATGCCGACATACACCGTGTCGTTGTTGGCCATCACGACTACTCCTGGTCCAACCCATCGATCTCGAAGATGAAGGTCCTGATTGCCGCGGGCTCGACGAAAGACATACACCCATTGGCCGGGCGCCCAATGTCGTTGTTGTTGAGGGGCAGAGTGTCGAGATCTTCGGATGGCTTCACGACTGGCTTGGCCCATAGCTAACTGACGGGCTCTTTCTCGGACATGGTGGCGTCGACGATATTCTCCTGCAGCCTCATCAACCTCGGCCGGGTCCTCGTGAGCGTCGTGCATTCCGTGGAGCCCCAACTCGTCTTCGGCCAGCAGCTCTCCGGGGATCCGGGGAAGTTCTCCAAAGACCAATTGGGCCGGCGTGTAGCCGCCCTTGTTCAACCATCGATTCTTGGTGGAGCAGAGGGCCGACAGAAATTCGTCTAACTCTCCGAGGTTGGTGAAGACACCAGCGGCCAGATTGGATCTCGCTGTCCAGGCGGTTTTTCAACCAGCCCCCGTGCCTCTCTGCTTTTCCGTTTTCCCAAGGACATTCGGGGTGAATCACGTGCTGGAGAATCCCCTGCAACTCCAAGCCCCGCTCGAAGGCGCCTTTGAATTCATTCCCAGCATCCGTCATCAGCATGTGCGGAGCGCCAAAGTAGCGCACCCAGGTTTCAAGGAACAATTTCCATGCAGCTGAGGATGAAGGGGTTCCGGAACGAGTGATTGGACATCGGGCAGCAATCTGGTAGCTGGTCCCGGCACACACGGCATTCATAATGGGGATCTGCGCCTCCTTGAACCGGACGTACAGAAAGTCCACACAGACCACTCGATTAAAGGAGAAAGTCCTTGGTAGCTGAGCTCGGCGTCGATTGTCCGTTCCCTGCTTCAGGTTGCAGTCCTCACATTGAAACTCCTTCCGAATGAAGGTCAACACTTGAGGCAGAGCTCCTGCTGCTCGGAAAGCTCGTAGCATCCGTTGACGGTCAGGATGACCGGTGTTCACGTGGACCTTCATAACCAGTCTTCGTTGTGACTCAGACAGGGGAGCCGGCTCTGTCGTTGACTCCACTGGAAGGTCGTCGTCTTCGTCCTCTTCGTCCTCGCCAAAGAAGGCATAGGAGCACTTGGTGGCCTCATACTCGACCTCGTGGAAGAAGGAGGGAGCCTCCAAACCCATGGAGACTGCTTGAGCACTGCGAGCAATGGCCATACACATGGCAGCTGGGTATTCCTGAGCCATGCGAGGAAGGCCGGAGACCAGAGCCTCATGGTCATGATCTTGAGAGCATTGTGCTTTGATCAGCTCCAGGGCTAGCCACGGGTTGTTGGTTGCGATGCAAGTGCTCTTCTGTGACAACTTCCCTGAGTCGACCACGCTGAGGCCGTAGGCACACTGGTCGAAGACGATCAAGGCGACATCAGGCCTCCTCAGCAGTCTCTGAGTCTGTGGGAGTCGCCATGAGGCAGCTAGTCGAGGGTGCTCCAGGCCAAAATAGTTGTCGTCCTTGATCTGGTCTTGGCATGCCTCCAATGAGAAATCCCACATCAGTTGTCCCTCCAGCAGAACTTTCCGTCGAACCTCAGGGTTCATCTTCTGCAGAAAGATGTGTCGTAGGTGAGTGTAGGCCCGACATGCAGGAGAGGTCATGAGCATCCTGGGACGGTGACGCTCGCGATGAGTCCGGAAGGATTTCCGATGCTTCGATTCTCGAACGTCCCACCCGTGCTGAAGGTCAAAGATCGTCTCCGTCTCGACGGCCAAGCCCATCTTCTGAGCATAGGGTGTCACTCGAGGAGGAGAGAAGAGCTCCACGAAGTCTCGAGAACTCTTAATCCTGCTTCGATTAGCTTGCTTGGCCATGAAGGACAGATTGTTGAAGCATCGCTGCAAGTCCGTGGCATGCCCATCGTTGGCTATCTCCTCCGCCCCGTCTGGGAACTTGCTGGCAGTGAACTGGGGCCCAGGGGCGGCAGCCCAGAAGGGACCCTGGCTGGAAGTCTTTCCATCCTTGTTGAAGCCAATGATCGGTCGGTCAGGGTCGGTCATCATCAGAAGTCGCAAGAATTCAGCAGGGCAGCCCCATTCATCACAGCGGACGGGGTAAGAGTGATTGTTCACGAAGGTCTGGGAGGAGTCGATCACGGGCCCATTGAAGATCACATGACCTGAGTCGGCCTCCAGGACCCTGCGCCAGCAGGGCACATGGTCATTCCTCACTGGCTGGCCTTCCGAGCACCCGAGAAGGGTAGATGCTCGAGTCATGAAGGGAGGAACCCAGATTGGCCACCCGTCGTCCTCGTCCCTCAAGCCTGAGGGACTCATAGTCGATCTCTCCTCGCCGGAAGAGTAATTCTCGGATTCATCGGTCACCTCCGCACCGGAAGGCTCATACTTGGAGTCATAGAGAGAGGCCTGCTCAGGGCCTGCATGTAGAAGTGCTTCCTCACCGAGGGCCTGCACAGGGCCGGAAGGTAGAAGGCTGCCTGCACCGAGGGCCTGCTCAGGGCCAGACCAGCAAAGAGCGGGTTCTCCATGGGCCTGCTCAGGGCCAGAACAGCCAAGAAGGTCATACTGGAAAACGAAGGCCTCGTCGTCCAGGTTGAAGCTTTGAAGCATCTGATGCAGCTCGGGAGAGGCCCTATCTCCTTCAAGCACCAAGCCGGCCCAAGTCAGTCCGGAGGCCAGCATCCAAGCGGGCCATGAGCCCTTCACTCGCGAGTGGGAGACTCGATGTTGGGGTTCGTGTCCGGCGACTCGGTGAGATTGTCCGGCATCTCGGGAGGGCTCTGCATCTGCGGCCATTCCGTCTCCGTCAGCGACCAGGTGTCGGCATCGGTCATGGCTCCCTGGGTTTGAGACATCGGAGGGATGTTCATGGGATAGATCGGAACCACCCCCTGCTGAGGCGCCGCTTGTTGTCCTCCCGCCAGTAGCAGCATCTGTCCTTGACCACGAGCCAGCTCTTGCAGGGACATGTTGATCTGCCCGAGGGTCTGTGCCAGCTGAGTATTCTGCACGTTCATCGACAAGACGGCCTGCTCGATTATCTGGGAGGTCTCGGCAGAGGCGCTGCTCATCAGAGGCTGTGAAGATGCCGTGGCCGTCGTTCCTGAGCTGGTGTAGCCTCCCTCGAAGGGAATCGCCGCTGCCTTGGACTTGGCCTTGGGATGGGTCCCTCCAAGGGATCGTCGACTCTTCGATGCATAGGTCAGCCGAGCTTGACACTGAAGGCACACTGTCCAGGAGGCATACTGATTGGCCCGAGAGGCCACCTGATCCGTGGGGTGAAGGCACCTGCCCGGTGCCTGGGACTCGGCCTCGATGTACTTCTTCCGGTTGGATGCCGTGCTCTTTGTGCTCAGCTCGGCTCGGATCAGGCGCTTGTAGGCGGTGCGATTGGTCTCCCAGCGATTCATCACTGAGTCCATCAGGTGTTCCCATCGCTCGGACGGGGCAGCACTTCCTCGACTCCGGCGAGAGTCGCTCATCATCACGGCAGGAAGGCTGAGCGAATTGAGGATCACGGGAAAGTCGAGTGCCCATAGGCGTTGACGAGCCCGACGGCTGCGGCGGTTCACAGACAAGTGGTCCTTGATGCCCTGACAAATCATCTCTGGTAGTGCATATCGTGGCTGACTCTTGACGAAAACAGTTTCTCGATGAACATCCCTGTGGACATGGGGAGTGAACATGTACATCTGGGGGGTTGAGTGAATCCTCGAACTCGACGACTGCCGACAACTCAGCGACCGTGTGCTCGTTCTCATGCTCGAAAGTGGGCTCATGAACACTAGTGACTATACTGACCCCAGATCTTCTCAACAGCGACGGCGAAGAAGGGTCAGACTTTGTATACGCGGAGAGAGAACGAAGGTTGAAGGCTCCTGGTTCAAGCTGGTACTTGGTCGACAATTCGTCTGGCACCGGAAAATCCATGTTGGTCTTCCAATCAAACAGCTCCATGGTGCGATGACCTGAGCTCAGACGGTTCAAAGGAAGCTCGATTCCGAGCTTGGACATCGTGACCACGTTGCGGGTCAGGTCGATGGAGGACTCCAGGAACTCTAGAAAACCAACACTAAGGAGCGGAGGAATGCCTCCCTCCAGGATGGTCATCTCCAAAACCCCGGGAAAACCCCCGGGTGAAATAGGCAAAAGCACTACTCCCTTCACTTTGGCGGCGCCTCCAATCCCGGTGGGAATGGAAGTGGTTGCATCCACGTAGACAGGCTTCAGGCCTAGGAACTTCAAGTGTGATGAGATAGATCGAAGGGCCACTTCACCGATCAGGTCCTGAGTGGCTCCGGTGTCTAAAATGCCTGCGCCTGATGGTAGGGTCAAAAACGACCAGGAACCATGGTCATCAGGACTCTGCACAGTCTGCACGGCCTCACGGAGGGATCGGAGAGTGATAAAGGAGAAGGCTGAGGTCATTCCGGGCGGCGAGGCGGAAGAGTATGCGAAAGCCGTCACCGGCTTCTTGGCCTTGTTGACCTCGCAGTCTTCGGCCCAGTGTCCTTTCTTCATGCAAATGCGACATCGGGATATCTTCTTCAGCTGCTCCCGATTCATGCCCGATCGACCAGGGCGAGGTCCTTCTCCCTTGCGGTCTCGTGAGGGGCCGCTCCATGGTGGGCCACCCTTGACAAAGGCGCCGCGGTCCTTCTTGAGCTCGGCCTTGAACTCCTTGTTCTCCTTCCACGAACGGGGCCGGCGGCGTTTCTGGTCGATCACGGCAAAGATTTCCGTGACCTGGTCCTCGGTCAGGTCCAAGGATTCAAGCTCTTGCACAATCTCCTCATCGTCCAGGGACTCCTCCTCGTCAGGGAAGTCACCGAGGAAGGACTCATGAACCTCGTCCTTCCCAACCTCCTCCGCGAAGCCAGTGATTCGATCAGACCTGACATCCAGCCTACCAAGAGCGCGAGCCACTGCTTGAGGGTCATCTTCTTGACCTTGAAGGAGAGCGGACAAGTTCTGCTGATTCTGTTCATTCAACCCTGCGCCTTCGCGAAGGAGAGTGGCCTTGAAGACGTCCGGGATGACCACGCCATGCTGCGAGGCCTGGGTGAAGTCACGCTGACGGCGGACAGCAAATTGGGCCAAGGTCTCATCTCTTCGCCGTTGATGCTCCGTGATGGCAGCCTTGAATGCACGGCGACGCTCATCGTCCTCACGGACTCCTGCCTTGTTGTTCATGATCTCGATGATCACCTCCAGGTAAGCGGAAGAGCTAAGGACACTTTCCGGCACATGTTCAAACTCCTGCTGGAGCTCCCAGCCGAGGCTGCGAAGGACTCTGTCCGCACGCTTGTGCATTGGGAGGTCCGTGGCCTTATTCCAGCGCTGGATAGCTTGTACCCATAGTCGACGATGTGACCAGCCAGGCCAACCGGGCGGGTCGTTAAAGTCACCCTTGTAGATGGCCTGTGAAGACGACGGTCCGGACTGCCAGTCATAGCCCTGCCATCCATGCGCATCCCATTGACTGCGCCATTGCCAGTCTTGCCACCCTCATTGGCCGGAGCCATGTTGAGCTGTAGTTGGAGCATTTCCCCATGGAGTGGTACCCGAAGCACTCCTCCAACCAGCAGCCCAAGGGTCGCCGGCCACCAGAGGGTCCTGAGCCATACTGGTAGTCGGTGGCGTCGACGTTGTAGCTCCCGCGGGGTCACCCGCGGGCATGGCCATCGGTGGTGCCATCGGAGACGTCGTCGTCGTAGTCCCGTCATTGGCAACCTCAGGAGCCGGCTGCTCCGATGTCGTGGCGAAGACCCCACTCGATCCGCCATCGACCACCTGAGCACCTGCATCAGCGCTGCCCAGCCACCAAGCAGCGTCCGGTTGCCTCCATTGTCTCCATGATCTCCATGGTGTCCATCCAGCTGCGCTTCCGACTTCGGGAGCGAGAGTTCGTCGTTGCGAGGAGGTCCCTACATCGTCCACCATAGCTCCGGTTACCAACTGTCGAACCGACCTAGCAAAACGACGACATCAGCGGCCTTTTCCCGCCGAAGCGGAGCGAGCTGTAAACCTTGAGCCATTTGGTATGGCGGTGAACACTCTGGTCAAATGGAATCATGGTATCCCGTGCTCAATCTCAACACCAACAGTTGGACCGGCTACCGCCCCTCCCCGCCAGCTGGTAGCCAAAAGGGCTTAAGACGCTCCAACACGTTTCGCCAGGCACACCAGGGTGAGATTCGTGCGAACTGCGTGCGTGCTTCTGTGCTTCTTCCGCGCGGGTGGAGAGACACCGCCCGACAAAACAGGTCAAAAGGTCTTTACCAGAAAGCGGCTAAGCCTAAGCGGCTACAACGTGGCTACCGAGAGAAATGAGCCGAGCCTCCTAAAACTGGGACCACAAGAATCAAGCATTCTCATTGTCACATGACTGGTCTTGAAGCTGCTGTCAGTCCACATCACTAAAGAACATCACCCTGCTGAACCCCCGAACCGAACCAACCCCCGAATGTGTCCGCTTCAGTGCCTGGTCTTCTGCCGAATCATCGGAGGAACCCATGTTGCCCTCCAAGTTGATCTGGTCCTCAGCGATGGTCCCAGACAGCTTGAAGGCCCACCCATCAGAGTCCCCTGCACTGCGCCGGAAACCCACTTGGAGGCCCAAAACAAACTGATTCTCCTGCAGCAACTGATTCACCCCACTATACACTGCCTCAGCTCAGCTGATTGGGTGTTTAGATTGCCATTGCTTAGATGCCCCGGTCACCAGGTGTGTTCAGTTCGATTCTACAAGCAATACGCTGTTCATCTGCAGTTTCATGAAACCTGAGAAGGATGAAGATGAGGATGAGAAAGGGATGAGGATCGATGAGGGTCGATGAGGAATGAGGATTATGAAAAGGATCCATCATTGTCCATCATCCATGTAACCGTCTGCTTGCACTGACTACACTCTTGCGCCTTCTGCACAGGGCTGCAAGGGCTGCAAGTGCACTCAGTCCGGCAGCTTCACTCCTTCTGCCAAGGCGCCAGCTTCCGCTTCTTCCTCTTGGTCACCGTGCGGTCGGCGTCTTCCCGCAGCCACTTGGGGTGCAGCACCAGCAGCACGCGGCTCCCCGTCTCGCGGAGCTTGTCAATCACCGCATCGATCTGGCTGTACTGAAACCTCGGACAGCCCCCTCACGCCCGTCACGGAGTCGTCACGCCGTCAGAAGGAAGGAACGTAGCTGCTTCCTTCGGCATGTGGCTGAACGAAGCGGCTCGGCCCCCCTTCTAAACCGACCAGGGACTCCCAGGGACTCCTCGCAGCTCCCCCAGTCGACCCCCTGAAACTCCCCTGCCGCCGTGTCGCAGGCCACCCTCGCGGTTTTGATTGTTGAAGCCCACCTGGCAGCCCGCGTGTCCGGTGACAGAGAGGAGTGTTGCGTGTCGTTCCCTCCTCGTCAACGTGCAAAATGGATGCGGGATGGAAACCCGGATTTGAGAAGCATACTGGGGCGGATCCACGAGAATTTCCTTTTCTCCGGCCACTAAATCTTCCCCGCTCTTCCGTCCAAGCGCGTTGCGGTCCCCTCCCCAAACCCCCATTTTGGGGGGGGCCAGCGGTGAGCCCAAACAGACCTTGAACCACCGTCGTCGAGCCGTCCAGCACCCGCCGGGCGTTCGTTCCGCCCGTGTGAGCCCGCCCAAACACCGCCCGAGGCGGGGCGCGTTGGCGCCATCGATGACGATGTCGAAGGGCGGCTGCTCCTCCAACCACTTCTTGAAGCGTCGAAACGGCTTGCCTCACGTCCCGAGGCGAAAGCGAGGCGGTCGGGTGCGGAGCTTGGCGCGAACCGGAGCGAGTTTCTCCATGTGGCCCCAAGGGCAGGTGCGACGAAAGTGATGTAAAAAATGAGTGCGTACAAAGAGGGAATCACTCTTGTTTCCATATCTGTTTCCATATTCTTTGGGTGAGTCCAGAACCATACTGTTGAACAAACTCGGGAGTGGTGATCTTTCCGTATGTCCTATGTGTCATCTTTGCATATCTTTGCTTCAGGATTGTCGGGATGTCCCCCACCAAGGGGCCCCGCGACTGCAGAGCTTCCAGCAAACTGTCCCGTAAACCCAGAAGTTCTGGAACCAGCACAGCCTGGTCACCTGCCTGTCAACAGCCCCCGTCCTGAGAAACGGAAGCTGCTTCATTGCAAGTACTGGTGTGTGCCCCCCCTGACAAGGGGGCTGTGTACTGAGACTCCTGAGCTAGCCCATGAAGGGTTGCGCACTCAACAGCCGGAAGCCAGCCCCCACACGTCCGAAAGCTGGTGTCCTCAGTCATGTGCCACCTGCACCCATCACCCATGGAGCCAAACGACAAATTGACTGCGACCAAAAAGCTATAGCCGTCAGGTCGATAGCAATCGAATTCACAGAGATTGGCTCCCAATGCCCAGAAGCGCTACCAATGCCCAGAAGCGTGCGGAACTCTCCCCAACAACACCATCCCATAGTCCTATAGCCAATCTCCTTCTCTCCCCCACGTCTTTTGGCTTCCCATCAGACCCATCCTCACCCATCCTCATCCTCACCCATCCTCACCTGCCAAGGCGCCCGAGTCCCGGACATCAATCACCAGGCGTGTGACCATGCGCTCGAGCAAGGCTTCCTCCTGACCGGGGGGCGAACCGGTGGGAGCGACGCATGGTGTCTCGGGACAGGCGCTTTCCACCACCAAAAGGTGCCTCAGGTGACGGGTCCTATGAGGGCGCTGAACCATTAAACTGTAACTCTATTGGGATATGTTGTAAATTGATTCATGTAGTGGATCATCATGTGCCTGTAGGTGTTCTTGGCTCGCTGCAAGTCTCGTTGCACTCAGTTTTTTGAGCCCACTTGAGCACCAAACACGATGGTCAGAGTCTCCGGTCAGTAGATCGTTTCTCTGCCCACAACAAACAAAGCAAAGAAATATTAAAGGAGAACAAGAAATAACAAACAACAGGTGATTTGCCCAAACTTTCCAGCTCTATTTACATGCTCCGTCAGTCGCCGAGTCGCCGTCGCCCTCAGTCGCGCCCTCTTTCCCCCACGACCCAAGCGACCGGTCGGCAACGGGATCCCGTCGCTTCGTCCGATACACGCCATCCTCCAGTGGACACCGTGAGAGTGAGAAATCGATGACCCACCGCTTTTGAGCAGGTCCCCTACAGAGGTATGGACCGTATGGTCCTATGGGTGTGGATTTCAAACCTTGTCGTGAGTGGGGTGCTGAGTTTCCAAGTTGGAATGTCTTTATTCCTGGCACCACTTCAAGACTCCTTTGGATCCACACCCACTACACCCACCATACCCACCCTATCACTAATCTAGCTCCACCACCTCCGCTGCCATTTGGCTTGGAGCCTTCAGCCGCGGCCGCTTCAGCAGCCGCTCCACCGCCGCGTCCACGGACCCGGTCTCGGCCATGGCCTCCGCGGCCGCCGCCACGCCGAAGCCCATCGCCACCAGCGCCGCCACGTCCGCCGCGCCGCGCGCGGCGTCGCCGTCGTCCACGGCGACGGCCTCGTCCGCGCACTTCGGGGCGGCAAAGCTGAGGCTCCGTTGCCCGCGGGCGCGCTCGGCAAAGGCCACCTGGAGGTTCAAGATGTTGAGTGCAAAGGGTGCATTGGGAGGAACCAACTTCTGGAAGAGCCCGAAGGAACGCTCCGCCAGCTGCTGGGCCACCACCCCGTCCTCGCGCGCCAGGCTGAAGGTGCCCAGCGGCATCTGGCGCCGCTCGCGCCGCGGCGGGACCGGCGCGGCGGGACCGGCGCTCCCGCTCGCGGCGCGGTCGACGTGGCGCACGGTGAGGGAGAGGGACGGCACCGGGCGAGGTCCGAAGCTCCGTTCCAGCATGCGGATCTTCGTGAGGAGCTTCTGGGCCAAAAGCTCCAAGGAGGCCTTGGCCTCCTCGTTGCTTGAGAGCCTTGGGCTGGGCCAAGTGTGAGGAAGAAGCTCAAGAAACTTTAAGTAAATAATTCATTGCATGGGAAACTGCTTGATCTACACAGTGACCCCAGAACTTGTAGGACTTCAAGCTACCAACTCCATCCAAATCCGATCAAAAGGGCCCTAAACCATCCCCAAGCAGGGCCCCCTTCGGTGTTCGAGGGCCCCAACCATCCCCAACCCGTCCGGTTTTGGCTCCGGAGTTGCGGCTTCTGCCAGAAGGAGTCCTCGGCCGAGCAGGTCTTCGGTGCACCGGAGGCCTTCACCGGCGCCTCGTCCAGGCCCAGGCAGAGCGCCTTCATCGTCTTCACCTCGACGGAAACGGCCAACTCGCGAGCAGTCAACCGGCCCCGGACGCCGAGGAGAACCGGCGGAGCTGTTGGGAACCGGTGGGGAAGGAAGGGACTTCAGCGGTGTTGTTCCAGCTGCGGGAGGTGGAGAGCCACCCCGGAGAGAATCCCCAGAGGTCACCCTAGGATGCAAAACCCAGGTTCAAACGCTACAACATCATACAGCATGCAGTTGAGGTTCATGGCAATGACTGGTGAGCATGACTTCACAAACAACTCGGCTACGTGCGGGAAAGTCTATTGGAGTAGAGATGAATGCCCTACTCAGCTCGGCCATCCAAAAGGTCTTCGTTCCAACCTGCCTCCCAGAGATTCCAACTGCAACTCTGCAACCTCCAAGAAATTCCAACCCCCCCCTCCTCCTCTGCCGCCAGGGCCGCCGTGCTGGCATCAAAGGCCTCCTGCAGACGCTCATGAGACACCGCACGTAGCTGGCCAATACTGTGGATCCCCAAGACCTCAGAGACAACAAGCCCAAGCTGGTGCTGAATGAAGGCAGCACATCACACGGGTACGGGGTTCCAGTATGAGATTGTTTGAGGCTCCACTGACTGACTCCAGTATGCGACTATTCAGCATCAACTAACTTATATATTATTCGAGAGATTGCTGCATGTAGGACCTGCAGGTGTCAACGACATCAGATAGTTACAGATAGTTCGACATGGTGTGGTGTCTGCTCCACCTTGTTGTTGGTGTTCCATCGAACGTCACCGTCTGTTTTTCACAGCCTCAAAATCTATCATGGCCTCCTCCATGTATGACTTGAAACAATTCCAATGAGAAATGATCGGTGTGGCCTTCAATACAGTTGACAATCCTGCGGCATCTTCTGTTCTCATCAAACCACTCCCCAGTTGCACACATCTCGGGTCTGGAGAGGGAAAACCCTCTGTGAGCCAATAAGTGAAGGATCGAGACTGTAACACTATAGGATCGGTCAGCAAAAAGAAACATCTGCAACCTCCAACCGCGACTGGGTCCAACGGCGCGCACCTGACAGCGTTGGGTGGAGGCGAAACCGATCCCCGGAATCTTCTGCACCGGCAAGCTCTCCGGGAGCAGGCCTGGCGACTGGTGCACGCAAGCTCAACATGGTTTAACCCTGCCTAACTACGGGCAGCAAGTACTAAGGGGGGGGTCAAGGTCAATCTGATGGCACGTTCGCTCTCATCATCCCAAACGGCATGGCTGCTCTTGGACTCGACACACGAACCACACAACATCCAGCCACGCGAGAGGCTGAATGTAGGCGAGAGGCTGTCAAGGCAATCGGCCGTGGGCACGAAAACGGTCTGCTGACTGGGCTTCTTCCATGAGGAGACCTCACTAGGTCTCAGCTGAAATGCCTTTAAAAATGAATTGCAAAACAATCAAAGAGTATCCAATAGCCTTCCCTGGGTTGATTCAATCGCTCTCCTCTTTGCAATGTCCAAAGGAGGTGTCCATCTATTTAATTTAATCCATTATTGACTTGTGATATGTTTGACTTATATTGACTTATGTCATCCTATATATGTCCAAATCAAATCTGAAAAGCAAAACCCACCAAGTCAACATAAGTCAATGAATGTCTCCAGGCCACCATCTTTGCCAGCAACTTGGAGACGCTCACTCCTGCACTGGAGCTCAAACCCACCTGAGGCACGAAACGCCGGTGCTTTGGTCCTGTCGCCGACCTGGACGTGCCACGATCCGTCACGCTTGGAGACGGCACCGAATGGGATTCCGATCCCACTCAAGTTGCAACCAATTCGAATTCTGGGTCCAGTTTTGATGCGTTTTGCAGGTTTGGTGTTTTGGATAATTCACCGACCGAAAATCTGATCAGGATTTAGGAGAAAGATTTTGCATTTCACAAAGTGGTTCCTTCACTGACATGTTGCGTGATTGTTCACCAAGCACTAGATAGACTAGATAGAAAGTCCGCTGGAGGGTGGTTTCACCCATTCCCACCCCGCTTTGGAGTGCTCGCTTCTTTCCTGTTCTTGTCCTTGCGGTTGATTTGGCAAGGACTCGTCCAGAAATACCGAAAAGATCTGAATTGTGTGCTGTCATGAAGCTAACATAGACTCAGACCATCACAGGCCCTGAACATCGCAGGGTGACCTCTTCAAGACACACCTGATCATCTAATCCTCTGCATGGGACCGCAAAACCCATAGAACCCTGAACGTGAAAACCCGCGCGAACACCGCGCCGCGCGGTGTACACAAGCGAGGCGTTCTTCGACCCGATGGAAGGCGCCTCCAACTGGATGGCCTCGCGGATCTCCTGACAGATCATGGAGCCCAGAGCCAAGTATCTCCAACAGGCGCCTCCCCAGCGCCGCGGCGGGCGGGTACAACTGGCAGGTCCGGATGTCTCGGGAGTTCTGGAGCTGAAGCGGAAAAAAGGGAAAATGAAGTACCAGGAGTCACTAAGGGGTGCCTATTGGAGGTTAGGGGTGCCCATTATCCACTCACTTAAGGACTAAACACCACCCCTTTCCTGGTAACAGGAGTCACTAAGAATAGGGGGTGGTATGGCTCGTCCCATCCAGTGAGTGGCTGTGACAAGGGGAAAATGAGTATATCTCCATAGATCACACCGCTTTGTGACTCCTGGTGCATGTTCAGGGTCCCTTCAAATCGGGACAGCTTTGGGCAACCAGATTAACATCTAGCGCGGGGAAGGTCCGATCGACCACCAAGACTGACCTCGGTGCCTTCGAGATCGCCTGCTGCACAAGGAAGTCTCTCGGAACCTGCCCAGCCTCCCCCCAGTCGATGGTTTGAATCGGATGATGTCGGATGTATTGACATGCCCATCTGCGTGCTGAGCTGGGGCGCACCTGGAATGCCTGCTTGCTGCGGTTTTGACCCTTCCCTGCTCCCCCATGCTCACCCCTCGCCTGCATCCCCGCCATCCTCGCAATCCGTGCCCGCGGCTTCGGCGTCCGGGTAGACCAGCCCGCTCATCTTCGCGCCGCCGTCGTCTCTGGCGGAGGAGCGCTCCTCCACCTGGTGGGTAGCAGCTGTCAAAGAAGCAAACCGAGCCATACAAATCTGATTGCGAGGGAGAAGCATCCAAACATTCAATAACGCAAAACCTCAAACATTAAAAACATCCCAGCACAAATGACGGGTTTCTTCACTCGGCTGGGTTGGTTTCTTCGCCCACCTGCTCGGTGAGGTCGACAAAGACCTCATCCAAGCCAAGCTTCTCCACCTTCAAGCTGGACCGTTGCCGGACCAATTGAGATAACACGGCTGGATACGAAAAACGCTCTCTGGCCTCAAACATGGCAGTCCAAACAGCTCCTATTATATATCTCCTATTTAGATTGAGCGCTTGCAATCAGCACCCAAAAAAGAAGCCGCCTTGCTGCTGAAGCGCGCCGCCACATCAAAAAATTGCTGGGACACCTGAAGTGCTGCCCGGTGAACAACGACCAAATTCTATGTACCGTGTCAACGTGCTGGCTGTGTGAACGGTCGGATGCTTGAGTTGCAGACCTCTCTCTCTATATATATATATAATAACCATAATAATAACAATAATAATAGTAATGATGACTCCCGTGCCCGGCACGCCCCACCTGGCCATAGAAGGTGAGATCTTCTCCATTGCAAATCGTAATCTCGGGACATTTCTCCTTGACCACCTGAAGCGAGTCGCCCTTCTGCACACCACAGGCACGCGCCGTGTAGTTGGAGGTGATCACTAACGCTTTCTGCTGCACGCCCACCGGCCTCGAAAAAACAAGAGCGACTGCCACAAAGGTGACCGGTGGAATTTGGCCCAACAACACTTAAGGTGAAAGGAGCCCGTATAGATGGGGACACGTCCAAGGGATCACTAGCAAGAGTTTGAAAACCTTCAAGTCTCATCACAGATGTGCTGGGGCAATCACCTCAATCTACTATATCCACAGTCCTCATGCCCTCATCCCGCTCCTGCCCCCTGCGAAGTCGAGCCGGCTCCGCCCTCTTCCGCGCTCCCCCCACCCCTCTCCCCGCCTTCCCTTCAGCTCCGGATGCCTCAGCTCCTCGCATTGTGCGTAGAAGCAGTCCATGTCGATGGCCGCCACGCACCGGCGCGCCCGCAGCAGCTCCCCCGCCGACCCCGAGGCACCGACCGTGGACACCGTGGAGACCGGCGCAGCTGCGGTGGGCGCCGGGTTCGGGAGCATCTGGGAGGTGAGCACATTGCGGCGTGCACTCATGGAATCTGGCTCAGGGATGTTCAGGGACTGTCACTGCACCACATCTGGGGAGACGGTCGCAGATGTTTGGACTTGGAGATTTGGGTGGAGAGGGTGGCTTCCTGCTTGAAGAGAAAAACTGCTATATGGCGATGACATAACGATGTCCCAACACCCCCTTGCTAAAGACAGATGGGAGCTGGGCTAGGCTGTTGGATTTGGTTTAGGACAACCTCGGTCGCTCAGCAACTAAGCTAGATGGCGGTAGCTCAGTCGCAGATTCGTGCGCTTTTTCGCGTTGAATCAGGCGCTGCAGAGGTCGATTCTGTCGAGGATCGACTATTTTGTTGGCACCACCCAAGAAAAGGAAAGCTTAAAGATCATGGTTAAAATAGTCTTTGCCTTCTAGGGCAATGGCTTTGGGTCCTTTGATTCTTCGATGTCCTTTCTCATGTCATCCGTTGGCTCGAGGCTGACATGCGGCGGAGAAACGCTACATGCGGCTCGTCTCTTCCGGAATGGTCAACATCATGACCTTCGGCGAAGTATATACAGTAATACTATGAAAATATAGTGCATACCAGCAGTCAGTGTGCCAATCTGATCATGATGAAAATCCCGAGGTGTCAAGAACCATCCGCGATTCGAACTGGAGCCTGACCAAGCAAAGACGTCCAAAAAGCATCTCAAGAGCAGTGACCCCCAAATAGATAGAAACATATAATATATATAATCGAAACGGTGTCCAATACATTTTTGGTGAGGATCTACTTGTCTATCTACCATGACCCTCCAAGAGGTGTCTGTAAATAGCCTTTTAGAGGTTAGGAGGTGTCCAAAAACCACCCCTTGGAGGGTCCTGGTATTTGGGGGTCTATATATCGCCGTTCCGCAGCCGCTGCCGTTCCTCATCGCTTCGGCCCCTCACCGAGAGAACCGACCTCCGCACCGCGTCCTCCGGCGTGACGTCCATCGCCTGCAGCCGTCGGCCGCTCAGGGCGCAGTCGCCCTCGGGGCTCAGCGTGGTCCAACCCACCTGCCAACCTCGTGCGCGTGCGTCGCGCGGCGCGTGGAGGAAGCACAGAGCGAGCTGGGTCGAGGTGGGAGTCACTTGGAGGCCTTAAAAAAGGGACGGATGGATAACTATGGTAAGAGGTGAGGGATCCGAAAGATTTCATGGCGCCATCTAGTCGCGCCATATTATATAATTCATGTGCCGACATGTGCCAACTTTGCTCTTGACTCTTGAAGTCATGGTGTTCCCCAAGAGAAGGTGAAGGGCTGCCAAGCAACAGCCGCCGCTTTCTCTGCGGCCGGGCGCCTTGGGCGGATCCCTGGCGCGGAGGGCCAGCGCACCTGGGGGAAGACCCCACAGCCGCGGTCTTCCGCGGCGCGGAAAAAGACGACACCCTGGTGCCGAGACCCACATGGAACCCGAAAAAACCACCGGCAGGGTTGGTATTTCGGAAAAAGATCCCGCGTCTTTCAAAGCCAAGCCCAGTGGAACATGTGGGCCTCTTCCCGGGTGTAAAAGTAAAGGCCTTGGAGACATGCATTCAAAATCATATCTCCCCTTTTTCCTTCCGACACCACCCCTCCACTACCATCCTTGCAAAATCGCTACGACAATCTCGTCTTGGTGCAGCTCTATGTGCCCCCATGCAGCATCCCCGTGCTCCACATCAAAACCATTCAAAACCCAAGGGTGGATGCCGCATGCTTCTTGCTTCTTGCTTATACCGAGCTCTTACTTTTTGTTAGCCGAGCACGGCCCATGCAGCCGCCCCATCCGCCCAACATACGTCCGACAGCCGTCCACCTCGCCTTCTACACCAAAGACCCGGCCGATCTCTTCGATCAAGGGCGGGTCCGACGGCATCGGAAGCTCCTCGATGAGTTGCCGCAGGAGCGCATACTGCCCTCGGCATGCTGACGGGCTCATGCGGGCGCGCTCGGCGCGCCACCGGTCGTTGGGTCACTTTTGGGGGACCGAACCAGTCCATCGAAACGCCCCGAGACCTCGGCTCGGTGTCAGAACGCCTGCGGCCCGGCTGAGGTCGGATGGAATGGAATGGAATGGAACGAACCAACGGAAGCCCCTCCAGGGTCGACCTGTGCCGCTTCTGAGTCTGAACCAGCTCCGACCCCAAAGCATCTCCCAAAGCCTCCGAGTGACGCTGGACGTCACCATGGAAGGTCCGCAGCATGAGGGCGAACCTGGGCCCACAGACACATCCGGCGTGGTGCTGGCGCGCAGGGTGCATCACGGTGCTTGGCATGGTGCAATGTGACTCCCATACCCCACGCCACGCCTTCCACCTCATTCCACCCATTCCCTCCCCCCTCCTCCCCTCCCCGTCACCGGCCACCCCGGAAGCGCGGCGCGGCGAGAGTTCCTCCCAGCCACTCGGAGTCCTGCGGTTCCAGCCCCAGAGACGGCAGCTGCGCCCAGAGCTTCTCGCAGAGACCGTGGTCTTGGGCCTCGGAGGCCTGGCTCGGATCCCTGGAAATGAGAGGAGGTCAACCTCAAATCGCCTTGAACGTCTTGAACGTCTTGACTCAGAGCCCATATCTGTTGTTTCTCTCCATCATGAACCGAACTGATCGATTTGTTCATGTGGGGTTTTCAGAGGGGCAGCTGGGTGCGAATGCTGTTGGGCTCCCAATTTTGCATCACTCATCTTCGCTCAACTTCGCTGCAACAGCTTTTGTTTGACTCAACTTTGCGCCGCCCAGGTGCCACGAGTATAGTTATGGTCTGAGTCATATATACGGCTGTCTGAGTCGTCCAGCTCGGAAATAGGAGACGGAACCGAGTCGTCCACCTATCCGCGCGTTCATCGATCCCTCTTCAGGTGTTGAGCAATATACACCTGAAGAGTGGAAAAGCGGGATCGTGAAGGCCTTAAGGCATCCCTTACGTAAAATAGATCCAATGAGGTCCAAGCAGCTCACCCCACGTTCTTGAAGGCCTCTCTACTCTGCAAATGAGGTGAGGTTCCTGCTCGCATCCACCGAACCCAAGTGAAGTGGAACCCGGGAACCCTGCCTGCAGCAGGACGGCTGAGAGCGTGCGCAAGCGCGGCTTGACGCCCTTCGCCTGGAAGGACTCGATTAACAGTTGTGCCCCCCAAACGGGTATAGTGTTGGAAGAATTCCAAGGATGGGTTTGGATTCTGAATGGGAATGAACATTTGGATTGGATTCGGATCAAGGAACAGATTCTGTATAGAAAGCGTCCAAAGTTGGAAGACATTCTGCTACCCCATGGCCACATGGACTTCTCCCATGAGGGCTACCGGGTGGCCCCACCCCGACCTCAGAGCCCTGATCTGCACTGGGAAAGGGTTCAAACGGCACCGTGGAGCTTTCTCCACTCTCAAGGCCTCATTCCTCCTCCCACACCGCATCCCCACCTTTCCGTGTCCATTCCACCCGGCCCACGGGAACCAAAACCCTCCGCCCCGCTCCCCGCTCCGCGAACTGCCGGGCCGCCTGCGCCTCAGCGACGAGCTTGAGGGCTCGGTCTTGCGCGCCGCAGGCGCAGCACACGCGCACCATGGAGGTGATCGCGCTTTCCTGGAGGGCTGAGGAGACGAGGGGGGAGGGAGGACGTTCCTGGACTGACCAAGAGAGAATGGGGGGAAGGAGGTGACCTTGATGGATGGGGATGGGAGGTGTTCTTCAGGTGAGGTGGTGAGGTGGTGAGGTGGTGAGGTGGTGAGGTGGTGAGGTTCAGGGTTTCTTGAGGGGTATCGCTTCCTTCTTCTCAAAGATTCGCTTGAAGAATCATCAAACTCGCACTTTAAGTCGAGGATGAATTTGAATCAGCAATGTTTTCACCACGGATTTCTTGAGGAAACCCGTTGTCCATTCACGTCATCGTGTGTTGGATGATTCAACACCGAACGCCACCGAATCGCCCGCGCGTCGCGGTCCCGCCTGTGGCTTGCCGCCGTCCAGCCTCGAGCATGACCTGAAGCGGGCGGTCTCAGTGGTTCATGCGGGGATGAAGGCACGGCATCAACAACTTCATAGCTTAATTATATAACATCCAGGAGTCACAAAGGGGTGGTGTTTGGTCCCTAAGTGAGTGGATAATGGGCACCCCTAACCTCCATTAAGCGCCCCTTTGTGACTCCTGGATGATAGAACTATATAGAAAACATGCATTGCCCAAGAAACAACTCCAAGGGAAACATCGAAGATCTCCTTTCTGGACTGTGGCTCCGCCACGTATGCCCACGTCACCTTCGTAGACCGGTTCACCTTCGTAGACCGGGTGAAAGGACTCCAGTCATCTGAGGGCCCGGACTCCAAGAGCCATTCTCCTTGTTGAACAGCTGCCACTTTGCAGTCAGCGCTGACGGCACTTGTGGCAGCAGCCTCTGTAGCTGGGGTGGTCATTCAGTCTCTCCCGGGCGGGCTGAAGCTTGGAGCACGGACTGTGCCAAGTCTATCCGGGATTTGTGGTTTAAAAAAGCGGTGTGAAGGTACCAATATGTGAACCTAGAACAGAAACATACGCGCACATGTCAGATGTCACATGTCAGATGTCACATGTATTTTGACCATTGTCCTTCTAGTTCCTGCGGTATCATCCATGCACACAACCCTCAGCAATTCCTCCCTATGTCGGCAAACGACCCGCCTTCTGGGCTAACACGCTCAGCGCTTGAAAGAAAAAGCTACGGGATGGTTCGCCTCGGTGCACTGCACGCCATCCTCACGGTTTTGTTCGGCTTCTGTCTCATGCTGGAGCAACTGGACTACCAAACCCACACCCGGTCGTTCACACCTTCCTTACAAAGCTGAGTGTCATCACATCCCTGATTCCGGAGGACATCGATACGGTGGAGGCCATCGTTCTTAGGTTGGCCTGGCCGTACACGCCAACTCTGCACTGGTCAGGGCCTGCTTCGCCGAAATCCTGGGGCTCCCGGACTCTTGCTTGCCGCAGCCTCCTTGAGAATGACCAGCACCTCGGGCAGCCCGGGGGCTTTCCGCAGCCGCTCTTCATAGCCTCGTGCAAGGAGGTCGTCTGGGTTGGTGCTGCTGTGGCATCACAAGTGTGAATCTTTTGGTGAAGGAGCTCCTGATCAAAACATGCCATGATGATCCTGTCTGGGCGTCCTGGCTAGACTACCCTACCCTACTTATAGGTCTCCAATGGGGCACCCATTGGAAGGGCTAGGCATTATACATCATTAAAACTGCCTCCCGCGTCAGCCCTCTCCACCCCGCAACAGTGACTCAGGATCTCTCTCAGGTGGCTTTCATTGGCTTTCCCCCTTCCATCGGCTCACGCCAAGGCACCAGGATTAGCACCAGACTTATCACCCTTCTTTGGCATCCTGAGGAGTCTGAGCTCAGACGCCGGGGGGGGAGCTTGGACAGTCGAGGCCAGGAGGGTGCAGTTCTTCCGTTCTTCCTTTGGTTCCAGCACCAGGCTACCTGTATCTCCCTGTCTTGAGGTGCTAGACGAGCCATTCTGCCAGGAGGCGGGCGAGGAACCACCAACCCTCGGGGGCTGTCCCCCAATAATAGTAAGGACATGTAAGGACTAGGAGTCATGCCTCCTTGGAAGTAAGCCTTAGTGTTTCTGCAGCGGGGGAAGCACGAGGCTTTCCAAGGGGAATGGAGGCTCCATTACATCATTACACCTCCCAGCCTGCTTTCGTGGCAATCCGAAGCAATCATGGTGTTCCCCAATCCAAGCTTTCGAAAGCTAGGTCAACCTCTCTGCGAATCCGGCACCTCATCCCAACTCCCTCTCGCCAGTCAGCCCAGCATCTAAAGCCACCGGGCCCTGTGATGTGACGCCCACGCCACAGAGCGCGAGCTCGTCGTTTGAGCCAACGAGGCGTCGAAAGCGCGGGGGTTGACTTACCGGAGGTGGAGGTGGATGGTGTTTCAGTGCTGAAATAGCCTGGGTCCAAAGTCCAAACTGGCCTGACTGGTCAGGTTGCTAGGCTGACTGGTTCCGTCCGGCAAACGTCCAAAAAGGAGCTGTGGCGCTGACCCGAAACGCCTGCGAACAAATGCAACAACCCCCCCCAACAAAAAAAATAGTCATGTCTGTGAGTGCATGCAGCCGAAACAAAACATAGACAGGTGTCCACCACAAAATCTCTATGGAGCCGAAAAGCATATTTTCTCGAATCATCATGTCTCGTCTAACTGCGCCACGGCATCTGCCCAAACTGGAGGCTTGTTTTGCCTGGAATTTCACACAGAGTTATTGCGCTCCTTGGTGCAAACACCCTGAGGTAAAAGAAAATATCAAACCCACTAACTTCCTGCGCTGCCCCCGCTACGCTGCTAGGGCAGAAGGAAAAACACACCCTTATCTTCAATAGTCTGAAGAGCGGTGAAGAGCTACTCTTTTCCGGCGCAAACAAGTAAACAGTGCGATGTTCACACTGCGGTTCTGTGAAGCGTGAAGCTCTTTAAAGCATAAGCTGAAAGCATCGCACAGTGTCAACTACGTCATGATGTACTTCATGTGCGCGTCACATGAAATGGTCATGCATGTGCATCCTCGTGCGAAAGCAAAACTACACAAAAAGGGTTCTTTGCAATCTTTTTTCTTGCTGTAGGTTCTTGGGTTTCAGTCTCCTTAGATCACCCGAAATGCAAATCAGAAGGTCATGCATTTCGCTCACGGCTCGGTCGCGACCTGCAAAAAAACAAAATGGTCGTTGCATATGTTGCATGCCCGATGGAAAGCCATGACACTTGACCCTACGTCGTTTTGCACCTCAAAACGCCCCAGGCACTGCAGAAATCACCCTGCAGTTGCGACTCCAGACATATGACCGCGTTCCACTTCTCTGCCTTCCTCTTCGTGGCATTCTGTGACACACCGTTTAGGTGTCAAAACAAATTCAGGCTCACCCCCACACAGGAAAGACCTGATCGACGCCTTAGTCTCGGTCCTCCACAGCTGGCCCGCCCGTCCAGGCCGTCCAGGCCTCCTGCGCACAGAGCAGTTCCTTTACACATTGCAGTTTCTTTCAACACCGGCGGCGTGAAGCAGGCTGGGGCCCAGCCCATCCATTTTTGGGCGAGCAACCTAACAGGACTAACAAAAATTTTCGAAAAAAAACAAGGGCAACAGTCCCGCGTAGCAAAATGTAACTTGAGGCCAGGGGGAGAGGTCGAAAGCTAGCCGAATCGCACCGGATGTACTAGTTACATAGTCGGCAAAGCATGTAGGGATTACATGTTTTGGGAGGAAGGTTGCTATGTAAATACTTTGCGCTAAAGAATGTAAATGTGACATCGCTGACTGGGAAGGGTACATTGGAACAACCCGGGTGCACTCGTTGGCAGGCACGAAGATGCGTGATCGGCAAATCTGGGGGGTAAATTTACCCTCCGCTTTTGTATGCCTTGAGTCGGAAAGAGGGGTAAGCATTTCTGACATCATACGGACTGTACATACACTAGGGCGTCCGTAGTGTAGGAGAAGCACGGGTAAAAGGTATATGGAATAGAGTGTCTTGAGGAAGTAGCCGGTGTATGGTTATTGCAAATCTGGGGGGTAAATTTACCCCCCGCTTATGTATGCCTTGTGCTGGAAAGAGGGGTAGGCATTTCTGGCATCACAAGGACTGTGCATACACTAGGGCGTCCGTAGTGTAGGATA